GTCAGCAAGCACTTGCTAAGGGAGGATTCTCTGATGTTTTCTCCACTATCATAGGGTACAATGAAAAAGTGCCTTTTTTTTTTAACTTTATGTTTATTGAGTGTTATTTCAGTGTTGTCCTTTTAGGATAGGACCCTGAGGTGTGCAGTATTGATGGTTGCCCAAGTCTAGAAGTTTGACTTGTAATCTTTTTTTCCTCTTTTCTATTTTTTTTTTTTAATTTACTAAGGAAAATCCTCTTGCTTCATTTTACAAATTCAGTTGTTGCTAACAAGCTAGCTTTGGCTCTTCCATTCACATGTTTTATTTACCAGCTAGCCAGGCTGATAATAGTCTTTTGTAACTTTTTGTAACCTGTAAATTCTGTTGTTGTAATAATTAGCTGAGATCCACTGCAAACTAGCTGGGTCTCCCATTAGAACCTGCAGCACCATGATGTGCACTTAGAAAAGCTCACCAAGGTTGCAGAGAATAACAATGATGTGCTAGGATGAAATAGATGCCAAAAATGTTTTTCTGTGTTATTTTCTGGTTCATCACATCATACAGGATGCAGATTACCCTTCTTTGCCAAGATCAGTTACTGTTGACCACTTTATGTCACACACTTTTTTCATTAGTTTAATCTGAGTTAAAGCTAAGCTTGGCCTTACCTTTCAGACTGAGATATGCTTTGCTCCAAGAGTCACGATCCAGGGTGGTGAGGATACCGACAGGCTCCGTGTTAGTCTCTGATGTGGAGGTGCAAATGCTCTCCATCTGAACACAAAGCTGATCAACTGTCAGCGGAGTCCCATCATTGTGGTAGACCTCCACCACAAAGAACTGATTCAAAGGGAGGACACAGATTAATAGCATTACTGAGCACATGCTTCCCGTCCAACTTAGCACTACATTACATTTGGGTAGTGGGACTAGGTGAACAGCCCATTCCTTTGACCAACAGCAAAGAGTTCTTCAGCTACTCTTTCAAACATTTCAGGTAGTGTTCAACAGTGTCTGCAGAGAGGAGAATTGACTTGGGTTCCACTTGGTTTGCTTGGATTGTCATCTCTGGCAAACTCTCTCTTCCTATCTGGGGTTCAACTGGGGGTTCGACCACGAACAAGCTCTCAGCACAAGATCCATAGAGGCTGGGTCTACCACACCAGGTAAAAACCCCAGGTGCAGGCTGTGCAAAGATGCCTCTGAGAATATCCAGCACATAACAGCAGGGTGTATTATTGAGATTGACCAAGCTAAGATCCTGTAGGACTTCCAGATGCAGACAGACAGACAAACTGGTGATGGCTTATCAACCGGACATGGTAGTGGAGGATAAGAAGAGGAAGGAAAATACCCTTTGAGCAAGGGAGAATAAAGAACATGCAAAGATAGGGTATGCGTGAGAAATGGAATCCATTTGACTGTTTTTTGTAGGTCACGAGTAGTGTTTATAGAGCAAATATTAAGCTAACATTATATAGTACAGTGTTTTCGCAAGTCAATAGCCAGGGGTAACAAACCTGTGAAGATGTTACTCGCTACACTACAATATTCAAGCAAATAATTAAATGTCTTTTTAAAAAGGTGTGCTCATTTCACTCATATCCTTATACACAGTAAACTATTCACTCATCCGTGTGAATTTGAGTGATATCCCATTCTTAACCCATAGACTTTAATATGATGTTGGCCCACTCTTATTAGGGATAAGAATAGAGAATCCCAGTAGTTCAGTTTGTTGGAATTGTTAGCTCGCTTGCCATAGAGTCCAATCAGCCGATTTCATTTTGTCTCAGAGGAGGAGGAAAATAGTGGCACAGTCTACAGCGTGGATATAAACATTACTTTTATTTCTATTCCACAAAAGCACAATGGCAAAGTGCATACTGCATCCAGGACAGAAACAACCGCATTATGCTTGTAACACAGCTTTGGCTCTTTGCAAGCATCTGCACAAAGCCTCTGGTAATATGTTGTGCAAAAAATAAAATCAAATCAAATCTCACCTGAGAGTTATATACCACTGTGATGTGTTTGGGTGGATTGCCGATCTTGGCATGGAACACCACCGAGTCCCTCTCCAGACCTGGGATGCGGCAGGTTGACAGCAACTGGGAATATTGCTCCATACAAAGAGGTTTCCCTCCCAGATTCTCAGCTGGTAATGTCTCACTGTGAAAGACACAGCCTCCATCAGTAAACCGAGGTGGGCTGAAAAATAGAGACAATACACAAGTACCAAAAACTACTAAACTGGATCTCTTAACCACTTTTCTAGTTTTGGTGTCTTTTGGAACATGTTGATGGAATTAGAACTTTAGTTATTACAGGCATTTTTACAAAACAGACTCAGTTTCAGAGGCTCCTAATTAATTTTACCGACTAATAGTTTCATGCTCAGGTGAGATCAGTTTCCTCATTTATTCTCAAAAGGTCCTGTGAGCATAGGACGTGTTAACTGCACTATGGCATCTTAGAGCTCTGGAGATTAATTAATTAAACATTAATTTGATTCTGGTACTCACTTTTCAATGGTTGTCTTAAATTCCAAAAGAGCTACTATTAGTTTGGCTGCACACCTAAGCAGGAACCCCCCCCCCAAAAAAAACCCAAAAAACAAAACATGTTAGTTGTTTTAAAAAGCTATAAACACATATACAAGGTATCATTTTTGTGTAAGTGTGTGTTGGTTTACCTAATTTGTCCCTGTTTATCCCTGAAATCCAATCGAGGACACGCAATCTGGACATTTGCGTTAATCACCACAGGGCTCCGGTTCCCAAAGTATTCCAACTTCCCCCACAGGTCTGTTATCTACACACAGTATCAGGCTGTTAATTAATCCTGCAGAAAGCAGCTGATAAAAATTAGTGTCTTCACTTGAGTTTCTAAGATGTTGCAAAATTTCATTTAAGTGTTCCTACTCTATCTGCAGTTCTTGACAAATTTACACCATTTTCTGTAATTGGAGTATTTTCATCAATTACTATAACTACAGTTATACATTCTGCCATTGCCTTTAATGATAAGGCTCAGGGCAAATAGACAAATTATACATCAAATCACATTTTTTAAATTAATTGAGTGCAGTACCACAGCTCACTTAAGACAGTCAAAGAATTATATTTTATAAAAACACTTATAAACCAAAAATATTATGATTAATGTATATTACTTCTAGACTAAATATTACTTTTGCTGCTGCTTGTGAATAGCATTCACTCAATAAAATGTATTTCACTTTGTTAGTGATAGACTAGTTTCCAAATCAGGCTGTGGGACAGTGTCAGACTTGAACACACAGAGTAAACTTTAACCCGATGCATATAAACATTTAAGTTTCAAAACTCTGATGAGCAGCTGTCAGATTAGAAACTGATGGCAGCACTTGAAGCACAGTGAGCAGTAAGACAGATTTATATAAATTTCACTTATTGAATTATTTCCCCACTTGCAATGATCAAAAAACAAGTTCTCTTTTGTGTTTCATTTTACTGTTTAATGCAACATTGTTAATCAATAAGACCAATAAAGATTCATTTCAACTTTTCAATCACAGTGGTTTTCAGTTACCAAATGTTCTGAAACAGAGCTGCTTTGTTTGACACAATACATTTAATTATCAGTACTCTTCATTGCTGCCTGCAGTTTTTAGGTTTTGTGAAGCCAGATAAAGAAAGACTGGGTATGTTGAAATTTCTTCATAGTATAGTCCTCTGGAATAGCATTTCTATAGTACTTTTCTATTTTTACTAATGAATAAGGCCTGATGTTTTTTGTTCTAACCGATCCTACCTGAGACCTATTTAATTCCATCTTCTTCCTTCCCTATAACATGATCATTCATTTTCAGTCAGTTCCCCATGTCTGGTCACTGCAACTTGAACCTCTTTAGTGGCAGTAAATGAGCTCACCCAGTTGACAGTGTTGCATGCTTTCTTCTCCAGGCTTCTCTGCAGTTCCTCTCCAACCCCTCCTCTTTTCATAAAGGCCTCAACCAGCTGTTTCGCTCGCTTCCACTCATTCTCTTCTATTATGGGCTCCAGGGCACTGAGGTAGCCCTCACATGTTTTCCGCAGAGGGGGGACAGGTACCCTGGGAAGTCCCTTCTGCTGGTTCAAGTATCTGTCACTAATAAGAATCACTCGTACAGGCTTCACTAACTGATAAGATCGGACCTGGTCTGGAGGATTCATCTTCCCCAACTTCACCTGGGAGACAGAAAGACAACAAAAATACATGAATATAGAATAAAAGAAGATCAGGTAATAAATCCTGAGACTTTTACTAGCATTCATTTAGTTAAAACATGAAGAAATTGCTTCTGTTAATTATTACGTTAACAAAAACAAATAAAACCTCAGACATATTTATGAATACAAGGTAATGGGCTTTTGTTATGACTTCAGTAAGATAAATCCTAAACAACTACACTGAATTGCTTACCATAGTTCTGCTGAAGATTCTCAACATTGTGTTTTCAGGAAACTCGCACAGAATGAGGCTGGAGTGTATTCACCTGTTTAAGCGGCAGTTACAATGCTAAAAAAAAAAAGGGGCGGGCAGTCCGTACCACGTGACTGATTCAGGGACTGGTTCACCGGTTCGCGCCAGATTCGAAATAAAATGGACA